TCGTTGTCCCAAATTTATACTTGACTTATCGAAACACCGCAAAGCAAAAAACTTGCGAAACAAGTTCGGCTGTAAGATGGACAAGTTATGAGAAATCTGGCAGATCCCATCGCATAATCGATTCATCGGTAATAAATTAAATACCGTAAACAAAACAAATATTCGACGAAGTGAAGAAACACACAAAGTCTGATGATCTGAAGTACCCACACCATTTTTCATGTCGAGTATAAATGACTCTGGATGACTAAGCAGAAATCTTTAAACCTGGATAGACCAAGAAATCTGGAACGTTAAATCTATACGAACCTTCGTTGCTGTGTGTCACTAGTGCAATATGCATATAATGGTGAAGCGTCCATCTGGTTAAAAGGCGGATTTGCGAAAAAACAAGACCACTCTGTAGGAAGGAAACGAGAGATAACACACGATATCTGCTACATAGCTGCCGTCGACCCTGCCTTAAAAAAAGCATTTTTAATAATACCATGGTAGTGGAGATTGACGCCTTCATCATAGGATAGACCCATCACGAAAATGTAAACAGGACCGACACTGAAACGGTAACAAACCTTCTTTGCCTTTTTTACATCTCGAATTATTAGCACTTTATCGTGCCGTTAACCGACCTCATAGGTACGCAGATATATAAAAACCATCCTGCGCTCGAGTGAATATAACAATAATGCATATCTCTGGGGAACATTAATATGCCGGATTTTTCAGCTCTTCACCACTTAGGCGATACAAAACGTTTTCTTTCTACATCCTCCTATCATCTATCTAGTATTAGTTCTTGTCTTTTTTTGCCAAAACGCTGCGTTCTCCATTACGACGCTCACCGGCACTGCATTACTGTATTTGTTCGGGATTTATATGGACGATGACCCTCACATACTTGCTTTCAAGAAGGCAGCACGGATAAAAGATTGTGGCAAAGCCACACTGCCAGTTCTCCAATCAGTCGAATCCTCGGGTTGACTAAATGAACAGGTAGTCTATCGATGAAACAAAGAAGTAAGAAGCAATCGCTATGCCCTTCACTTCATGTCATCGTATGATTATTACGCTGGACTCTGCTAAAGGAATACCGGAGACGGCGTCTAAGAGATCAGCTTCGACCGTGAGAGGTGCCGGATCAGATTGCGATTGGGAGTAATAACTGCCTTAACTAAAAATTCCCTTTAGCAAGGAATTTACAACACGTAGCTGAAGTTGTTCAGTTCGGTTAGCATCCGACTCAGAAACATGAGTTCTAGAGTTCGAGAGGCTGCACCACTCTGTGAGAAGGAAATCCCTTTAAAAAAAAATAAGGCACACTGGTATGGAAATTGAGATCAACGTACCTCTATGACTTTCATAAAAGGACGAGTGCGAAAAATTGTCCCATCATGAAAGTGACAGAAGATGCCATATTCCGGCGGTTACAAAATTTCCCTTTTCCTAAAGGAGTACCAGTCGCTCTACATTAAATGCCAGCGACAGCCGTTGAAGTGAACAGATTCGTTAAGAACACTAACAGTGATCAGGCAAACAGGCCTACTTCAAGCGGAAGTCTACGTCACTGTAAAGATGATGTTAGCAGTGGATCTCTCCTCGAACTAGGGCTTGTCACTACATGTAGCGCAAGAATTAGACCCTCACTTGTACGGACAATCAGGCGGCCATATGATGAAGACCTGGTTAGAGCAGCTGCGAGTAAAGCCATCATGCCTTAATAACAGGTTATCTGTCTAATGTTTCACGAGCCTCATTGCCTATGCATTGCTGTTTTGTCAAAGGATCAGTATGAACCTCATAACTTCATGGCCATATTAGTAACCTCGGGTTACCTAACCCATTTGTTCACAGAGCATGAACATATTACTAGGTTTTCGCTTATATGCAGTGCAGAGCAGAGCAGCAAAACGTTAAGAAAATCTCAGCACACACCGGATTTTGGACACAAACATAATAACTGTCGTGTAGGTCATCAAGCCGACCGAGAGCGATCACATGCAATGAAAATCGGTCCAACTACAGCAAATTATTCGAACGCTCTGAGTGACTAATGCTCGTCAAAAAGTACCGCAGTTTACTCCTAAGATCGAGAGTTTCGTTCGAGCGCTAGTGGTCATGCTGAAAAACACTGTATTTATAACTGTTTTAAACAAATCTGAAAATTTCAGTGCTTTAATCTTTTCGCGTACTTAAAGCTGTATCCAGAATAGAAGTTAAACTCCTCAGTGAACTCGATAACAACTCAAAAGATGAAGCAAAGGCATTAAAACCGTCGTAACAAATTAATCGTTTAAACAGAATTTAAAGTCATTAAACCCTTAAAAATAAAGAGTAACATTATAATTAAGAAATCAGATAAAGACAATGCCACAGTGGTTATGGATACGACGAAAAGACTTAAAGGTTTGTGCAGCAAGAGACACAGTAAGGACACACCTCCAACTGTCAGAGCATACTTGTATCATCCACGAAAGATACGTCAGGGAGGCATTAATCATCAAGTCCTACGACAATGTCAACCGTGACAAAGGATATGAATTCTGCGAGGACTGGATGAACGTTGTCCCTCCTGTAGCCCATAAATTATTTAAACCAGCACGGGCCAAATGCTTGCGTTCTCGCTCCAGCACGGAAAACTCTTGAAACTTAACCAGTTTCATAGACGAGAAAGCCCGTGAAACAAGGACTGAAACGCAGGCACCGATTAGTCATCCAATTGAAGATATTCTTTTGCGCTGTGCATGAATAAACCGTGTTTCATGCTAATTTTCCGTAGTTCACTCATCCGCAATGCTAAAGTGTAGTCACACCCATTTTGAACAATACTGTAAAGAACATGAAATGGCACCAAAGATTATTCTTACCCAGCAGAAAATGAAGATCCAAAAAATTCTTAAGACGGCTACAGTATCGAAATTGTAAAAAGACACCTACTGAAACCTGTTCTTAACGTTATAGATAAGTCGATCAACAGCAGAAACCTCAAAGTAGTCGCCCTCCACTTTTGTTCCTAAACACTCCAATGAGATCAAACAGTACCTCGAAAAAGAATGTTTTCGAGCTCACTAAAAAATGGCTGGTTTACTTTGATCGCAGGTTTTGAATAAAGTTACCACCAGAGAGAAGGTAAGAGATGAACGTGATTTACAAGATCAGTTGCAATCACTGTGACAAGATCTACATCGGCAAAGGTATAAAATGATCGGATAAAACGGTTGCAGAACATCAAAAGTTCTGATGAACGAGAAAATGAAACAATTCTGGCATCGCTTCCCATGGCTTATAGTTTCGTCAGATACATGTCACTTCTGTTGATAAGGAGATAGCAAACATCGGCCTATTGATAAAAGAACGCATAATGTTTACACATACTAACAAAGCCGAATGTATCATCTCGCTCATTTTGAGTGATAACAGAAATGCCACAGATCAGCTTGTTAAGAACAAGTACAAACGCTATTGCCAATCAAGCTCATCATTTAGTTTCGCATTGTTTTACTTTTGCAACGTAACTTTGAAGAATACGCTGGGCGCAATA